AAACTAGCTGGACGTGGTGGCAGATGCCTGTAATCGCAGCTATTCAGGAGGCTGAGGCAGGAGAATCACTTGAACCTGGGAGGCAGAGGTTGCAGTGACCCGAGATCACACCACTGACTGCACTCCTGCCTGGCGACAGAGCAAGACTCTGTCTCAAAAAGGAAAAAAGAAGCAGTGCTGAAGCCAGAGGCTCTGTATTTCACGAATTAGAAACTTATTGGCCTCAGGAGACAATGAGACAGTGTCAGGTTGGAATTTAGGCACTGGAGGTAAATCCCAGGTTTCATCTTAGTTCGCATTTATGGTCGAGTAAAGAGACCTAGGCCATCAAAAAAGAAAAACCTGCCAGCTCTGTGAAATGACAGTCAACAGCGACATGCCTCAGACTGGGTAGCCCGTGGGTTTTGGGAGGTGTTGCTGGTACAGGCAAGTTTTACCTCTTTCTTCCCTGAGAACATTTGAATGAGAATGAACTACTATCTATTGACGAGGCATCGTTTATTAAATCTCACAGAATCAGGGTCCCACAGGGAAAAAATAAGTAAATCTGGACAAAATCTGTCTCACATCCAGCTGCCTCTTTAGGGGAGGGGTCTTTACATTCCTTAGATTGAAGCCCGAGAAAGCCTCAGCGCTCTAATCTCTGGGATGATCTGCCCTTGTTGGCAGTGTCAGTAACTGAGGCATGGGGATACCATACCAGCCAGTCCCGCGGTCCTCAGACCTGCAGACAAACAGCCATCTGATCATCGGAAGCCAATACAGAAAAGACTTTCCAAATGGACTCTAAGACTTAGAGAGTCCTGGGCAGGCTGTATCTGAGGCTATAAGCGTTAGAGAGCAAATATTGCAAAGCACTTGACTCCAGAAAACCCTCCCTTGCAAAGAATATTCAATATCTGTAAATCATCACTAAGAAATGCAGCCTGCTTCCCAGCCCAGATTTAATGAACTCTCCCCCATGGGAAGGAATAGCAACGTCAGTCCTCGTTACATATTCAGCAGACGGCATTTACTTATTTATTTGATGTGCAATTAGGGGGGCTTTTATGTACACTTAGATGCACAATTAGGAGCACTGTGGGGTGCCCTCTGAGGCATTAGGAGAAGGAACCAGAGTAAATGGCCTGCCCCTGTCCCCAGGCAGCCATGGTGGCTTCCTGTGATTCCCAAGGGTATTTCAGAAGCAGGGGCTTTGGCTCTGGGAGTTGATGCATTACTTTCACTCCCCCGGATTGGTAAAGATTTTTGAACGAAATGAGATGGGAAAATAATATTTACAGGAAATATTCCATTAATTTGGCGCGAATTCACCCCGCTAAATTATGCAGTGCAGTGGACGTTCTGCCCAGTGCGTCAGACTTACCTTCCTCTTCTGTCGGCGTCTGCCTGGCTCGCTTTCTGCTTGCTGGGTCTCTGACTTGGCCAGCCTGGGTGGGTGCCTCCCTCATTCCTGCATCTGCATTCTGCTTGGAAACCACACCCTGTGCACAGCTTGGGGAAACACTTCCGTTGATGCACTCAGCATTCTTAGCATTTGGCAGCCCTCCCCTCCTCATTCACAGGCTAGCACCAAAGGGCCTTCTCCACATATCTTATCAGTCCTTCAGTCTTTGAGATCGCAGTGCAGCGCTGAGTGGACCTGGAAGCTTTCAATGACTGTGGGTGGCAGGTCCTGGCCTTGGGCATCTAGAGAGGCTGGCCCCAAAGCTAAAGACCAGGCCTGCTTTGGAGAAGGGGTGGGGATTTGGGAGTAGAAGGTGGAGGGCACAGGAAGTTCCAGAATCTGCTACTTAAAAATCACTCTCCAAGAAAAAGGAATCCTATTCTAAGAAAATTGAGGTCCTCCTGTCAAAGCATCAGTCCTAGACATCACCCTTCTCCAGCCACCAATATCAGATGTGACTGAATCATCTCCATTTGGAAAAGTTATCCCAAACTCCACCTCTGCTAAAAATAAAAATTAGCCAGTTGTGGTGTTGCTCACCTGCAGTCCCAGCTACCCAGGAGGCTGAGACACAAGGCTTGCTTGAACCTGGGAAGCAGAGGTTGCAGTGAGCCAAGATCATGCCACTGCACTCCAGCCTGGGTGACAGAGCAAGGCTCCATCTCAAAAAATAAAAAATAAAAAAAAAAAAGCAGGCCAGGCGCAGTGGCGGGAGGATCACCTTAGGTCAGGAGATGGAGACCAGCCTGACCAACATGGTGAAATCCTGCCTCTGCTAAAAACACAAAATAAGCCGGGTGTGGTGGTGCATGTCCGCAATCCCATCTACTCGGGAGGCTGAGGAATCACTCCTCTGGGAGGTGAAGGTTGCAGTGAGCCCAGATTTCGCCATTGCACTCCAGTCTGAGCAACAAGAGTGAAACTTTGTCTCAAAAAAAAAAAAAAAAGAATGGTGATCACCTGAAAGCACTGAGCTGGCACTTAGAACTTCAGTACAGGATGTTGAATATGAAATCCTCTCCAATAAAATGGCACTAAACCAACTTTAAAGCGTTTCCAATTACAGATAACACTTTTGAAAGCATCTTCCCTGTTCCTCGACTTCCTAGTTTTCTGAAACTCTAGGAGTTGTTGGTGAGGATGTGTCACTCTTCCTGCCTGGACCTTCATTCAGTTGTTCAGTAGGTGTTGTCCAAGGGCCTATTGGGCACCAGGCCCTGCCCTTGGCTTTGCAGATTCTACAGAGAGTGAACAAGAGAGACTAGAGCCCTCATGCAGAGAGCTGACAGTCTAGTGGGGAAGGCGGTCAAATGTATTTGTTAAAGAAATCTACAACAAGCCGGGCGCGGTGGCTCAAGCCTGTAATCCCAGCACTTTGGGAGGCCGAGGCGGGTGGATCACGAGGTCAAGAGATCGAGACCATCCTGGTCAACACGGTGAAACCCCGTCTCTACTAAAGCTACAAAAAATTAGCTGGGCATGGTGGCGCGTGCCTGTAATCCCAGCTGCTCAGGAGGCTGAGGCAGGAGAATTGCCTGAACCCAGGAGGCGGAGGTTGCGGTGAGCCGATCGCGCCATTGCACTCCAGCCTGGGTAACAAGTGCGAAACTCCATCTCAAAAAAAAAAAAAAAAAGAAATCTACAACACAGTGTTCAAGCACTAAATTTTCCCATCCAAGTACTAACCAGGCCCAACCATGCTTAGCTTCTGAGATCAGACAAAATGAGGCACATTCAGGGTGGTATGGCCATAGACCCGAGAGTTGAATTCTATGAAGACAGTAGCTCAGAGTAAGGAAGAGCGGGAAGGGTGATGGATGATCAGGAGGGGTCTCTCAGAGCTAGGTTTGTTTCAGTGACTCTCTACTCCTGAGTGTTGTACATACCATTCCCTGGGAAGCAGTCTAAGATGGACTAGCAGGCAGGAAGTTACTGGGTGTGCTCTGGGACTAACAACAAATGGGAAAGTAAAGGAAGCAGAACCCGGCAGAGAGAGAAGCTGAGCTGTGGTGCAGTCCCAGCATGGTGACCCTCAACCTGGACGAAGCTCTGAAGCTAGAATGACCCGCAGAGCCATCACCATAGCTGTTGAGGCTGCAGGCCAAGCCTTACCCCCCAGCGTTAACCAATCATTACATCCAAGTGACCCCCTTGGTGAGAGGGTGGCAACCTTGGGCAAGGTGGTAGCTGAGACTGATTCCAGGAGAGGGCATGCGTCCTTCAGTCCTGCAGGGAGAGAGCGGCTTGTCAGTAGAGCATGGTGTCTTTTACAGCAGTGTTAGTGTGGTCGTTGGACCCGCAGCGTCCTCATCACCTGGAAATGTGTTAGAAATGCAAACTAAGGCCAGGCGCGGCGGCTCACATGTGTAATCCTGGCACTTCGGGGGCCAAGGAGGGTGGATCACCTGAGAGCAATGAGACCAGGCTGGCCAACATGGCAAAACCCCGTGTCTACTAAATATACAAAATTAGCTGGGTATGGTGGCATGTGCCTGTAATCCTAGCTACTAGGGAGGCTGAGGCAGGAGAATCACTTGAACTTGGGAGGCGGAGGTTGCAGTGAGCCAAGATCGTGCCACTGCACTCCAGCCTGGGTGACAGAGTGGGACCCTGTCTCAAAAAAAATTAATTAATTAATTAAATTAATTAATTAATGGCCAGGCTAGGTGGCTCACACCTGTAACCCCAACACTTTGGGAGGCCCAGGCGGCAGGACTGCAGGAGTTGGAGACCAGCCTAGGTACCATAACGAGACCTCATCTCTACACACACACAAAATACAAAAATTAGCCAGCCATGGTGGTGTGCCCATATAGTCCCAGCTACTCTGGATGCTTGAGCCCAGGAAGTTGAGGCTGCAGTGAGCCAAGATCATGCCACTGCACTCCAGCCTGGACAACAGAGCAAGACTCCATCTCAAAAAAAAAAGCAATACAAACTAAGGATCCCCACCTGACGCTGATAAGCTCAGAAAGTGTGAGGATGGGACTCTGCAGTCTAATTCCACAAGCCCTGAAGGGGATTTGAGCACATGCGTGAGGCTTAAGGCCCGCTGCTCTGCATACAGGCAGTTAGCGAGGAACTTTCTATGTGATCCTACTTCACTGTTTCCTTGTTGTTATGAAGACATTTTAGTCTGAGTTAAAATCAGATTCTTTCTTCGAGCAGTTACACTTTTAAACAAAAAGCGAGAGAGGGAGGTTTTGTAAATCCATGACCTCAATATCCACTCCAAGGCCCAAAGTCGAATTTTCTTTCCTTTCTGTTTTTGTTTTGTTTTGTTTGTTTTGTTTTGGTTTTTTAGGACAAGGTCTCACTCTGTCTCCCAGGCTGGAATGCAATGCTGCAATCCTAGCTCACTGCAGCCTTGACCTCCCAGGTCCAAGCAATCCTCCCACCTCAGCCTCCCCAGTAGCTGAGGCTACAGGCCTGTGCCAACACACTTGGCTAATTTTTGTATTTTTTGCAGATAGAGGGTTTCACCGTGTTGCCCAGGCCCCCAAAGAAGAATTTTCTTGACCAAAGAATTTTGGCACTAACTCACTTCCAGGATATTTTAGAAAGTCATGATTAGAAATTTATTTAACCCCTCTGTGCCTCTCTTTTTATATCTGTGAAGTGGAGACTAAGAGACACGGTATGGATGTCATCTAATTTTCTCCATCTCGAATAAGTTTACTTGTCAGAGTTTCTCTTTCCCCAGGAGAAAAGCGCCATTGCCCTTGACATAGCAAATGTCGTTACAGTAGCTTTTACTGAACACAAGAGGCGAATGGCCTCAAAAAGCAAACAGGGTCTCTTTGTGAAGAGGGTTAATTTTTCTCTTGGTCACTGGATCTGGGAAGCCAGGTCCCTCAGTTCCCACAAGGTCCTGGGAAGATCATCCTGAACCTGGTCTGAGTAAGCCAAGCTTCCAAGGGCACCAGCCTGCATCTTGTTGTGTCCTCGTTGAACCTATGCTGGTGTCAGACTGTCACCTTTGAGGAAGGCTGACCTGTCTATGAACAGAAAAAAAAAGCATTGCCCTGTTCAGGTGAATAATTCTTAGAGAGCAGCTATCACATGAGAGTACTTAATATGGAAACTTACCGGAGGGGAGGAATGTAATTATCCCTTAAAAAGGGGCAGGTCTAAATCTCTCCTAGGTGACATCTTGGAAGGGGTACCCATCCCTCCCAGGCACCTCCTGGAAGGGGTACACTCAAGCTCCAAGAATCTCCCCAAGCTTTCCCTGAGGTCATTCTCCAGGCCTGACATACCCGTGGGGTGACGCATGCCTGCCCCCTGCCCCCTGCCCCCTGCCATTATTTGCAGGATATCTGGCCCAGCAGTCAAGGCACCTCACATTTCTACACAGTTGTGAGTCACTTTCCTGGGCCTCAGTTTTCTCCACAAGTTGGTTGATGCAGATGATCAGGAATCCTGAAGTTGAAGGAATCTTAAAACCAGAAACAAAGAGAAATTAAACAAGGTAAATAAAGCAAGGTCACTTTAAAGCCAGAGGGGAGTAATGAATAAAAGAAAGGAAGAAAAGCAACAGTTTTC